TATTTGTTTTTTTTTTCTTGATAAATTACATAAATGGGAAGATATGGTCAATTTACCTGATTCAATTCGATCAGAAATCGATCAAGTGTTGAACATCTTTTTAATATATCATCAATTATATTTGAAAAATATACAAAAATATTTATTGAAATATTTGGTGGAAATCAATATAAAAGAACATCAAACCAAATAAATCCTAAATTAAATACAAAAAATAAATTAAATAAATGTTCACATCAAGATTTATATTCACTTATATGGACAATATATGCATTAGCTAAAACAATTTATCCATCAACCAGCAATGATCTGATTGCTTCATTTCATTTACTTATTTCTAGTTTTTTTCTTTTATTTATGATTATGTCAAATTAGCCAAATTAGATTATATACTTAAAGGTAACATTCTATTAGAAGATTTTATTTATATATATCATTTTTTATTTTAGTTTTTTACAATTAAAAATTTTCTTTTTCACTTCTTATCAAATGAAGATTTCTTAAGGGATTTTTTTTTGTTTATTTTATTTAAAAGTCTTTAAGATAAGATCTGAAACAAATTCAATTTTCGATTGTTCGATTATAGAATTAAATTAAATTAAATATTTTATTTCGAGATTTATCAATATATATGATTAAATAAAAATCATTTCAAATATTTTTTTATCGAATATATATGTATAGATCGATAACTTAGAAAGAAAACCTATTTTCTTGTCAATATGATTATTAATCGATAAAAACGTAAATAATCGAATATGATTAACGATTATTTCAAATCATGTTTAAAAATTTAATCGTTTAAACGATATTATAGTTATAACTGTGAACAATCGATTACTAATCATTTATAAATAATATAATTATAAATAAGATTTACAAATAATGATTATATTCATATATAAATATATATTCTTAATATACGATAGAAATATAAATATCTATTAAATCTTCTGAGAATTTTCATCAATTATATTCATATTAGACATAATATTTCATCATATTAAACGAGTTATTCAATCTATTCTACTTGTTTTTTCTTAATTAAACTATGGAAAATGTTTCGTTGAAAAGATGATAGATTAACTGTAGAGTTTCATAAATCGAATATCTATTGTTCGAGTTGTTTATTATGTTAGAAATCGATATTTGTTGTCAACAAAATCAAACTAATTTGAATTATTTATTCAAAACGAATAAATAAATAATAATCGAAATAATTTAATTAAACTAAATCTAATAAATTGAATAAAAAGATATAAAAAAACAAAAAAGAAAAGTGTTGTTTTTTGTTGTTAAAGTTGTTGTTTAAATGATTTATGTTCAAATGATGGAAACATAATCGATAAATTGTGTATGATGTATTGTTGTTCATCGAATATGTGTCGATTAATAATCGAACAACATTTAAAAAATGATTTATATAAACGTCTTGATAAAAAAAAAGAAGATTTTTAAAATGAATTTAATTATTTAGAAACAATTCGTGATATAAATCGTCAATATGATGAAATTGTTTTAACAAATTGTATAATTGATGAAAGAATTTTTTTAGAAAATAAATTTCAATTAAATGACTTATGTAATTCATTAAATGACAATTGATATTCAAAATCTTCTCAAAATCTAACACCATTAACAGCAAATCAACATATTACATAGAATGATTATCAAACAATTTCTTTTAATCAATATTTAACATCCATATCTCAAACTAATCAATTAATTAAATTATTATATTCAATTGTTCAACAACAACAGCAAACAAAACCAACAAATAATCTTATTTCAATTATTGGACAACAAACTTTTTTTTATCAAATCGAACATAAAATAAATTTGTTTTTCTTTCTCAAACCTTCATCGTGCTTTTTCATCTTTATCTTTTGCGCTTTTCCCCGTTCATACATTGAAAATAAAAAGCCTTTCGACAATTGAAACTAATTCGAAACCCATTTCAATTTGTCAATGTCACCTTTTTTGATCAGTGTAGCAGCGACTAGCTAGAAGTCAACTATAATTAGTTTACTTTCGGTAATAGACAGAGAACAGTACTTAGCTAAATGTTTCGTTAGAATCTATGATAAGAACCGTCAGATTTGTTTTACTCATATTGATTTGTATAGGAAAGAGACAATAAACCTGATTAACAATCAGATTTGAACTATATTTTAATAATATTGGATTGATGCAAAAGTCTCCGCCGATTTTTTAAAAAATTTCTTAAAGCCCTTTAGCGCTACTATGCTTTCGTGATTTTCATACATATGATACCGCTTGTGTAGTACTATAAAATGACATTGGTTGATATCCCAGTTTATTTACATTCTTCATTAAAATATGTCAGAGATTCCTATTCATTTTCGACACTGCATTTTGTATGAGTTCCAATTAGGGAACAATGCAAGTGCTGCTGCCCGCAATATATGTGCTGCACTTGGTGAAGGTGCTGCTGCTGATCGAACGTGTCGATATTGGTTTAACAGATTTCGTGAAGGTGACATGTCATTAGAAAATCGTCCGAGATCTGAATGTCGTCTCGAGTCTGATATTGAACGATTAAAAGTCCTGATCGAAGACAATCCACGATTAACCATCCATGAATTGTCAGCAATGTTCGGGTGCGACCAATCCACTATTGATCGCCATTTGCATAAAATGGGAAAAGTTAATAAACTTGGAACATGGGTTCCACATCAATTAACCTCGGACAACGTACAGCAAAGAATCACCATATGCAATTCTTTGTTGTCAAAACGCAACCGACATAGATTTCTTCAGCAGATAGTTACTGGTGATGAAAAGTGGGTTCTATATGTTAACCATACGCGCAAGCGCCAGTGGGTAAATCCTGAAGATTTGCCCGAACCAGAACCAAAAAACGACCTGCACCCGAAAAAAGTGATGTTCTCAGTTTGATGGGATTTTCAAGGTATTATTTACTGGGAACTCCTTCCGTTTAACACTATAGTCGACTCGAAGCTGTACTGCAAACAGCTCCAAAATCTGAAGGTTGCATTGCAAGCAAATCGTCCTGAAAAACGAAAAGTTCGACTACTTCATAACAATACAAAACCTCATACGGCTAAGGTCACTCGCAAAAAGCTGGAAGAATTAGACTGGGAGCTCCTAGCTCATCCACCATATTCACCAGACTTGGCACCACCTGACTATCATTTGTTTCGATCGCTCCGCAATCATCTGGTCAAAAAACACTTCGATGATCAAGCCCACCTAAAATCGGACTTCGAAACTTATTTTTTTGTCTTTGTCTGTGCAGTTCTTTGAAGATGATATTCTGGATTTGCCTAAAATATGGGAGTATGTAATAGATAGCATCGGTGTATATGTTGTTGATTGATGGCATTTTGTTTCAATAAAATCTCGAAACCGAGAAGAAGAAAAAAATCGGCGGAGACTTTTGCATCAACCCGATAATTGCGTGTTGAGAGTTGATCGATATAGAATTGATATTATAGATTGGAATTAGATGTAAATCAAATAAATAGTTTGTATTAAAATGAACAAGAGACTTACAAGACAAAAAAATTCTATTAGAAATCGAGAGATAAATTCGATAGATAATTTTCGTGACGATCGATAATCAGAGATAAATAAATGAACTCGTTAAAAGATTTTTCAATTAATCAATTTTAGATTTTTCTTATTTCAACTAATAAAAAATATTCTCAAATTTATATTTTAGACAGAGACAATTATCATCACTATCTTTTCTTTTATTAACTTAAACAAATAAATATTTATTGATATTTATATCAGACATTCTTTTTGTTTTTTTAAGTATACTTTTTTGATAAAGAAAACTAATTAAATTAAGAAAGGAATTTTTGTTTCTGGTTAAAGATGTTTTCTCGTTAAATGAGAATATATTGAATTAAATATCTGTATGATATTGACATTTATTTAAAATGATATTTGAATGATATATAAGATTTAAAATTTTATTTAAAGACTTTTAAAAAAGGAACTAATTTATATTTTAACTTTTTTAAGATTATTTTTTGTTTTCTTTTATTATGAAACAAATCGTTGAATAAAATAAATATTTTCTCTCGATTAAAATATTATTTTCATTTCGAAATATTTTAAATCGAATCGAATTGATTTATGATGAGTTTTTTTTATTTTGAATATTTTCTTAACTTAAAATAATATTCGATATATATACGATTTTATTTTATTGAACATATTTTAATAATAATCAGTTAGATATATAAAAATGAATTTTATTTTAATTAAAATAAAGATAATAGAGATAATTAAATTGATTTTTTCATGAGAATAAAATGAAAATTAGAGTTATTTAATTAATTAATATAATATATTATTTAAAAACGTGTCAGTTAGAGAAATAATGTTCGATTTGATAAAAAGAATAAAATAAAATTTGTTTATTAAAAATTTAGATGATCTTGTTGAACGTTTAAATGAATGTGAATATTCATTTAATAGTCAATATGATTTAATAGAAAATGTTAATAAAATAAATCGAAAAGAAAATCCATCTCGATCATGTAAATCACGTTTGGATTTATCATTAAAATTATTTTATTATTCTATTGAAAATATCTTAACTATTGGAAAAAAAACAGATTAATTTAAAATGAATTTAATTCACAACAAATTCAACAATCATTTCAATAAACGATTTTTCTTTTAAATGGATAAATAAATAAATAAATAGGATTTATTTTAGTAAATGAATATTAAATAATTATTAGTATTATATGCTCATTCGGATAAATATCATGATTTTAATTGGATATTACATATTTATTCATTAGATGAGTATTCCTTTTTTAAAATCATACAAATTTTTTTTTTAAAACTTGTACACAAATAAGTAAATCAAAATCATTTATTAAATATTTATCATCAATGACTTTTTCAACAAAATCCTCATTATGGAATGATATTGAATTAAAAGGTATTTTATCATATAAAACAATATCATCAATTCAATCAAATATAAATAATTCCTTATCACCAATAAATAATTTAATTTCAATGTTTATTCAATCACCAAATAAAACAAATGTATCAAGAAAATTATTTCAATCGAATACAGCAGATCAATTAACAGTAAAATTTATTATTTGATTTATTTAATACAATATTATACATATTAATGAATATGATTTATCTTAATTGAAAAAAAAATTTTCCAAATTTTCACTAATGAAAATTTTTATTTTGAAAGAATCTTGTTCATAAATATTTAAAAACCATGAAATATTTAGTCCGATCTAGTAACAAGAAAAATTGATCCCTTAGAATATTTTATTTTTATTTTTTTTCTATATTTATCATGAAAAAAAACAATAAGAAAACATTTGATAATACATATCATTGATTTAAAAAAAAATTATTTCTTTTTCATAATCGAGCTCGACGAAAATAAACTTATCTGAAATTCTATGAAATATGATAATTGTCGTCGATCTTTTCTAAAAGCTTGTCAAACAATGAAAATAATTCGATAAATAATAACCATTTTAAAGCCTGTCTACGGCGAACACTTGTTTTTCTTTCTAGAGCACACTTTTTATAGAGAATATTAGAGAAAAATGACGATAATTCCCTATGGTGTCAATCTTTATTTTTAGATGTAGAACCCCTTGAAATTTAATTTAAGAAAGAAGAAAGGTAATTGAATTTGATTAAAATCGATTTGTTGAAAAAGTTTTTGTTTTGAATGAAAATTTTCAATAAATAAGATTATCTTCTGATATTGAATTCGTTTAATTAATTTTATCAATATTCAATGAATATTTTTTTTCTCAAAAATTTTCAAAATCGAATTAACAAAAAAAAACGAAGGAAAATATCTTGTCAAAGATTTTTATTTTTATTCAAACAAAATATTATTATAGAATAAACCAAAGACATTTTATTTGTCTTAGTTAACTAATTAAAATAAATCTTTATTAATATAATATCAATTTAATTCTTGAAATATTTCGTTTAAAAAAAAAACTTTTTTTTTTTCTAAAAAGTTGAATAGAATTTTAGAAAACAAAAATTTTTTAATTTATCATGTGAATTAAATTTCATAATGAAAATAAATCATAGGAATTAATAGGATAAAAAGAAAAAAAACAGACGATGTTATTGTTTAGAATAAATTGACAATAAATCGAAGTAAATCAGATGGAATTGTTGAAAATAATGATAAAAAACATATTAAATTAAGTCCATATACAATATTTTATCGTAAATTGTATGAATATGTCTTATCTCATCTTGATCTTATTTGTTATCGTTTATATGGATCTCAATCAAATAAATTTGAAAAAATCATTTGGAATTTATTTGAAAATTATACTCGATTATTATTTTGTTCACGATTAATTCAAATATATAAATCAATGCCAAATTCGAAATTAAAAACAGTTCGAAGTGTTTTTATTCGTTCAATTAACAAATATGATTTTGTTGAAAATGAGATTTATATTCAATTAAAGACATTTATTCTTTTTTTTTTCTTCAAGATAAAAATTCATGTTTAACACCATCAAAGGATATATAATTGGTGATATAACTAGTTTTTATAAAGAAATATTTCTAAACATTCC